CCAAATCTCCTGTGATCCCTAAAATTAACTAATCGGGCGAGATGGTTTAGAAATCTGAAGATCTCGGGCGCTTGCTCTATTTTGAAATTAATCCTATGCAGTGAGGATTTTTTAAATTCTAAAATGACCATCTCATTTTCCACGACTGCAAATCTGAAGGTCTTTGTTTCAATTTTGATAGAATCAAAACCTTCCTCTCCAAAAAATTGGAACTTTTCTGATGTCTCAAATAATTCATCCGTAGAGGTAATATTTTGAGCCGGATCCGTTTGCTCTAATACTTGAGAAAAGGTTGACTTTTCTATTGATGTAGATGCCTCCTTCATAATTCACAAACTAAATATGTCATTAAACACAAACAAAATATGTTTTTCCCGATTAAACCGTTAAACCAAAACTGCACATTAAACGATTTTTTCCTTGATTACATTCACAACAGTTTGTTTTCTTTCACTCTTTCCATCACCTCCATCCTTACTTCATTCTTCTGAAATGTGAGCATTTTGTGCAGATACTTGACCCTCAATATGTTTAATGGCTTTTCCTGCACAATTACATATATGTCAGTATTAGCTTATGTTGTTTTGACACACTATTGATATTGCATTAAATCTTCATAAACAAATGTGTATTTACATTATCTTTGAATAGACCACAGTCCCAATCACTCTCTCCATTGAAGGTTTCCATGTATCTTATCACGTACACTCCTTCATTTGCTTTATTATTCTTGTTACGCCATGCCATTTTTAAAATTTCTGGCTTCATGTTTTTGACTTTGTCTGCTTGAGGGTGCTTTTCATCTTTAAGCCATTTCAATACAGCACTTTTCTGCAAATATATGCAATTTTTATAATAAGCAATTCTTAGATAAATTTGTACTAATAATGCTCAATACATATGAAACAATGCTCATTGTGAATAGCTACAGTACTCATTTAAAAGAAAAATAATATGTATACTTACCAGATTGTTTGGTCGCGAAAGATACTTCATTTTAACAGATAATTCTGCATCACAGATATCAATAATGAAGAACTTATTGTACTTCAAATCAAAACTCATCATGTAGGATCTTCCGCTTTGTTCAACTGGGAAAATAAACAAATCCATGTTTCTCACTTTTGGCAATGTCATCTTGGCGAATTGGGCCCTTGTAACATCAACAAATCTCTTGCTTCTTGTTTCTGGAGCAGTCAACTGATTTTCCTCCAACACTCTCTATAATAGATAATTTAATAAATATCTTTCAAATATATTCATAAAAACAAATATGTAAATCCAGAATTCTTACACATGGTGTTGTTGTGAAAATCAATCTTTTCCTTGCTTCATCGCTTCTTAGAATCTCATTGTTGTTCAAAATCATTGCCGACATGTCTATCAGTCGTGCATTCACTTTACAGCTTATATTTAGACTCTCCAACTCACTTTTTGAAAGAACAACATCTCCATATTTGTATAACACATCACTAATGAGTTTAAAAACAAACAGTTAGCACATAAGATCCTGTTTTTGGCATTGGACTTTTTAAAGCTTGTAAAAAATTCATTTGAAGTTCACATTAGTCACATGCACAGGGCATCAAATTGTTAAAATGCAATGAGCATTCCACTAACAATTTAAACAGATTGAGATCTAAGCTAGAACATTAAGATTGGACAATGAAGAACAATAAATTTCTCCTGCAATTACTTGAATGATAAAATACAATTACTATTCTACATTCCATAACATCAAATTATACAAATTCAAACAAGGGACGCATGCAGCATGCTTATTTGATCCAAAATACAATCTTAAATCACAAACTTACAATCTTTAATCATGTCAGGCATCAGATTTCAATCTTTACTCACAAATCACAAAATTCCAAGAGCCTAAAAGCCTGAACGAATTATGCATTCTTTATCAAATATATAATAATGTTTATGAGAAGTATTTAATTACTTACTTTTTATTGGTGCCCTCATTAAACACAAATTGAGCTACCTTGATCTCTTCAGTGGTTGGTGGTGCTTTAATTATTGCTGTAACTCTGTTCACAAATGGTGACTTTAAAGCATGTGCAGGCATCACATTTCTTTTTCTCCTCAACACATTTTCCTCACCATCTTCACCTTCCATGCAATTATTCTTTCCCTTTTCAGAATCTTTATCAGTGATTTCATCACTTGGACTGCTTGACTCATGCACCCTTGTTTCATCCTCTGGGCTGCTTTGGTCATTCTGCTCCTCAAGGTGTTTTTGTTGCTCATTAACATGAACTTGTTGCTCATTTAAAACTCCCTGATGCTCATTGATTTGAACTTCATGATCAACAGGATCTGTACCCTCATTCTCCTGTTCTCTCTGTTCCGCTGTGATTGGAGAATCATTTGATTCCTGGGATAGCAGTCTGAAACTTGGCTTTTCATACTCTATGAATGTTTATCTATCAAACCTTTTCTTACGCGCATTTTTAATTGCTTCTACTGCTTTCTTTTTCATCTTCGGGCCATGAACTTTTGCAAGCAGCACTTTCATGGTTTCATCATCAGGCAAAGCGTGTGCAGCCTGTTGAAATTTCTCATCAAAAATTTGAGATGCTTTCAGCCAAATGTTTTGCTGCTGAAGCCAATTCCTTCATTGCATCCTACTTTAATTTACAAACAAATTTATTCATTATTGTATGCTCAACTAAAACATTATAGTGCTCACTTTATAATATGTGATATTCATATTTTTTATAACCCAAACATGTAAAATAAATACTACATACTATAACACATTTATTATAACCATAATAATCATTTTACTATAACATTAACTCATTACCTTATATGAAAACAATTTGTTCCAACCAATGCTCATTCCAATACCACACATGTATAATATGAAAATATTGCTCCTCTTTTATTTTTTAAAATGTTATACTCAGATTTTTTATAACCAACACATGTAATATAATCACTTCATATTGTAACACATTTATTATAATCGTAATAATCATTGTAGTATAAAACAAACATTTATCGGACCAGACCCGAGACCAAATTTAAGTAGATCAAACCGGATTAGATAAGACCAGACAAAATCAGATCCGTTAAAAACATCCTAAGTCTTAATTAGTTACTTTTTTACATCAATTTTATTTTGACATAATCATTTTTACTCCAATTTTAATTAATAGTGAATACTATAGTATTTCTTATGAGGAAAACATCATGTATAGCCGTCCGGACAGGATCCTTCGTCCGGCCATCACCGTTTGAGGCGGCTCTTGATGGAATTTTTGATGACATTTTTAGAGCTTGTTCTACATATAGTATAGATTATGTCCACAAAAATTCAGCTTAAAATTCAATCAGAAAGTCATTTAAATAAATTATTGAAAAACATTGCGTTTTTATATACTTCATCCGTTCTCTAGTAGTTGCAGCACTTAGAAATTTGTACGATTCACATACCTTACTTTGATCAAGATTTTCTACTAATATATATATAATCAAATTATTATGTATAAAATATCATTAGATTAAATGTCTCCTAATGTGATTTCCAAAATATTAAATTTTTATAATGTTTATTAATACGAAATTAAATATAAATACGGTCAAAGTACAAAAGAACGGAGGTAGTATATAGTTTGGTGCAGGTTTGTTTAATAATTTATTTAACTGACTTCCCGATTGAATCTTAAGCTGAAAAACTTTTATCAAAAAATTTCATCAAGAACCACCCCAAATGGCGGCGAAAGGACAGAAGGTTCATCCGACCGGACATGATCATTAATTACTCTTTCTTATGATACTATAATATTCTGAATTTTTATACCTTTCACTATTAGCTCTCGATGGTTAAGTATATACTTCTATTAATTTTCTTTGTAGAATAACGAAATTTTCCTATAGTGTTGAAGATAGACCTGTCAATGGGTTGGGTCCGGTCCGGAACGTAGTGTTCCAGACCTTGTCTCGCTAAGTTAATAATGGACCCAGACCCGACACGTTTATCCGACGGGTCTGAAAATTTGGATCTGGACCCAAATCCAACGGGTCTTGGAACTGGGTCGGGTAGACCCACCAAGTATGATATACAAAACAATATAAACTTTGTGAAAATAAAAAGGCTCTGTATAAGAAATTTGAAGCAAAGTGCACAAACTTAAAACGTAAAGTATATCTTCACTTTTTCAAAAAATCAAGATTTCTCATAGAAAATTAGTACTTTTTATCCAATAAAGTATCGGTTCTTGTAGAGGCGTATAACTCCACACTCTGTGTCGCTTTGTTTCATATAGAAAGCTCGTAGAATAAACTATAAATTAGGTCACAAAAGGTCTCTTGGACTACTAATAGTATAAAAGCATTATATATGATAATGATATAATAATATTAATATTAATAAATATTGGGTTTTGCCTATCGATCCCAAATGGTAAAAATGGGTATGTATTACTATCTTATCAGTATCACTTATACAACATGTCTGTATTAATGTGTATATTTTTAATTGAAGAATTGTAACTAATAACTCTATGTGTCATTATGTATATATATGTGTCTGTATGTATACATATTAGTTTGTATTTTTGTTATATTTGAAGTATTACAACTAATCACTATGTGATAGATGGTGTGTGTCTACTAATATAAAATTTTAAACGGGTCCGGATCCTTAACGGGTGAGAATCATATGTACCATATCCGACCCGTTTATCAAAAATATTAACGGGTCCAGATCTGAGTCCGAGTAAACGGAATAAAATATAGACTCACACACGTTAGAAACAACTGGGCCCGGGTCGGGTCCGGGTATAGACCCGACCCGTTGACAGGCTTAGTTGAAGATCTCGTAAGTCGTAACCGATCAGCCATACTATAGAAAATGTATGAAGAGATATATATGCTTTGGATTTGTTTTTGTATGTAAAATATGCCTTCCCCTATAATGGACAAAGGTATCAATACTAATCACAACATATTTGTTTATGGGGGCGGGGGACAAGAGTGTTGGAAAAAAAACTTGAGAATCCAAAATCTTGAACGTGCAATGAGAAATTGGTTTTCTAAATTCTATCCTTTTAGAAAGAAGGCTGTGGTATTGAGAAATCCGGCGGGGCAGAAGATTAATGAAAAATACATGATTTTCCATGACCAAGAGCTCGGGCATGGATCCGTTGGGGTTGTACGTGTGTGCATAGATTTGTCTTCCTGTGAGAGATTGGCTTGCAAGACTATATCTAAAAAGAAGTTGGAGGATGACGATCTTTTTGAATATAGGAGAGAGATTGCGATCTTGAGGCATTTAAAGAATCATCCAAACATTGTCTCTATAAAAGATGTTTGTGAAGATGACAATGAACTTCACATTGTAACAGAGCTGTTGAAGGGAAAGACGTTGGAAGACTATATTCTGAGTAAGGGACCGCTAAGTGAGAAAGAGGCTTCAACCATTTTTAGGACTGTTGTGGAAATCATTCAGGTATATAATATATGTTCTTTAATCTCTGATTCACAATTTGTCTTTCATGGTGTTTTCTTACTCACAACTCATCTAATTCTATAGGCTAAAGGGCCAAATAGCTTCATGTCACTACTAGAAAACTGGTCTATAGTGACACTAGACAAGTGTCACAGAAAGTTTTACTGACACTAGAATAGTGTCATAGAAGGTCGGGAATTTTGACACTAAATTTAGTCTCATTAGTAAAGTGTCATAATGTCTTATACTAATGTATCACAAAAAATCATGATAAAATAGTATCACTTTATATTTTGACACATTAGTATCAATTAAATTTATGATACATTGGTATCACATAATGTTGAATATATATAAATGTTTATTTATATACACACACACACACGAAATACAAGATTATTACATGAAAAATAAAAAAATGACAATGTATGAAAAATCAAAATGCGCTTTATTGAAATTAAAAAGAATTATCATTTACAATTCAAATGTCATATACATTCCAACATAAACTCAACTAAATTTATATAATAAACTAATTTGAGATCCTCCAACTGCTATAAGCTCTGCCTATGACTAAATAGGTTGACCTTCAACATGAGACTAGTGCTCCAACTTGTTGGTGGCTTTTCAATATCTGAAAGAAATAAAATCAAGATACATTAGATAGCTACAATGAATAATGTTAATGCATATTTTTGTTAAGCAGTTTAATTACAACCTTACTTGTAGTAGGCTAATAGAGTAGAAGGGTCGAAGTAGTTGGCAAATTATTAAGCACCAAATGGTCTGGTTCCTTTTTTAACCTGAAAGTGTAGTAGGTGCAGTGGAAAAATTAGTAAAGTTCCCAACTCCCAAACTTCTGTTGTGAAGCTAGCTAATTAAAAGAAATATTATGAGCAAAGGAATACCCTTTATTATTTACCTCGGAGTCAATAATGGCAACATAAACATGAAGTCTAAAAGTTCACAAAAGAAGTAATAATACCATTTGAGTCAATAGTTAGAAGCTCATTCTTTAATTTAATAGATTTCACAACGTGGAAGATCTAACCCAATAAATTTCTCACCATGATTTGGAAAAGATGGAGGGGAAGCAAGTGCAGAAAGGAAGGATAAACATAACAGTGTCTTACTAGTTCTTTGTACTGAGATATAGAGTAACAAGTAAACTAAACAATGGTAAGAACTCAGCCAACCTATAAATTCTTAAAAGAAGTAACTTCCATCATACGAGGTATTTCTTAAGAACATTATTCTAGGTACAGAGATATAGAGGCAATTTATTTTCATATGCCATGTTCATTAAAGCATCAACAAAAGCATGAATAGACTATGAAGTATAAACATAACAATGTCTTACTAGTTCAAATACATATAAAATGCCACATTAGATCCCAAAGGAATCACTTAAAAAACAAGGAATAAAGAAAAACAGAGAGGCCTATAAACAAACCCCATTAGTGTAATACATTGAAAGGGCGACTCCATTGAAAGGCCTATAAACAAACCCCATTAGCTCTAGTGAAGTTGTAAACCTCAAATTCTGTCATTTGATCCTGCTTTCCTTTTAGTACTGGAAGAAGAAATAACAACTCATTCACAGAGTATGTGTGTTATATACTAATGAATATAAGATATCAGTTCTTGTCAACTTAAAGTCGAAGAAATAGGCAAAACCTAACTACAAAGGATTTTAATGACAATATTTATAATAAACAAATAGAAAGCATACAAATATTCTATGTGTTTAAACTAATTGTATATCTTGCTGCTGTGTGGGAAGTTTCCCCTTCACATCTGAAAATATGGGGTTATAAATTCAATGAATAGAATAGGGCGAGAAAGTTCTACCTCTCGAAGTGCTTATGTAAGTACTCATTTGGGGCCAGTTTTGACCGAGGTCATGTGTTCATTTCTTCTTCTTTTTACCTATGTGTAAAACCCTCCAGGTGTTCATCTTCGTCAAGAAGAATAGGACCTGCAAAAGAAAGAAAAGCAATATTTTTGTCCTCAGATAGAATATCATCATTGGACAAGATTGGGCCAAGTGTAGTAACAACTTTATAGGATCAGAATGAAATTCCTCATGTCCTGTTCGAGCCTCATATATATCATTGGCAGAAAGTTCCCAGAGCTTCAAATTAGCGGGCACCGACAAAAGGGGATGAACAACGCCTGTGATTACTACCTTGTTACAGGTAGCCATTGGAGGTGATGGATAGTCTACCCGGGGGTATATATCCGAAGAGTTATTGCTGGGAATAACTTAGAGAGAAGTCAGAGCAAGTAAATGTAGAGAGAGAGAGTGTATTATAAATGTGGAGCGTTTTCAGCGTGGTTACAAATGGGGAAATGGGGTGCTATTTATAGTAGCAATAAATGCCGGACAGGGACACGTGTCAAGCGCCTATTGGCCGAGAGGTCACCTCAACTGGTTGGCGTTGGCAGCCGCATGTGGTCGCATTTAATGCGGCTGTTGGATGGGACGTCTGTACAGGGTACGGCGATCTGTACGCATGTGAGGCGGATATCATGTCGGGAGAGGTGCCCTCGGCTGCAGGGGACTAGCCGAGGGCCCTTAGTGCCGAGGACCCCTGAGTGCCGAGGGCTCCAGGTGCCGAGGGCTACTGTTTTCGCCGTTTTCTCCCAGTCCCTCTGTTTGTTCGAAATATCCGTTCTGTGAGAGTTTGGAGCCTTCAACCGGGGGGCCGAAGGCACCCCTGGTGCGTATTGCGGGCTGCTTGGTACTCTGGGCGCCGTGATTTGGGCCTGTTGGGCCTTTTGGGCCTGTTGGGCCTTTTGGGCCTTTTGGGCCTCCACTGGAGTAGTAGGAGTCTGTGGGCCGGGTGTTCCCGGGCCATATACTCCATCAGGAGTCCCTCACTCCTTTTGCCGAAAGGTACTTGAGGGAAAAGGAGTAATTTGTGTTTGTCCCCTGCCGTTGTTCCGTTGTAATTTCTGAGGTTGGTTTCGTTGCTTGCATGTCCCTGCCGAAGGCAGTCCCTCAGTTACCCACATGTCGGGACTTGAGGGCTTGCTCTGTCGTTTGTTGGAATTTCACTAATTTTGTAATTTAATGATTTTCCCGAGGGGGTCCTCCAGGAGTCCCTCACTCCTTTTTTCGAAAGGTACTTGAGGGAAAAGGAGTAATTTGTGTTTGTCCCCTGCCGTTGTTCCGTTGTAATTTCTGAGGTTGGTTTCGTTGCTTGCATGTCCCTGCCGAAGGCAGTCCCTCAGTTACCCACATGTCGGGACTTGAGGGCTTGGTCTGTCGTTTGTTGGAATTTCACTAATTTTGTAATTTAATGATTTTCCCGAGGGGGTCCTCCAGTCCCCCACTCCTTGAGGCACTTGTAAAGTGGTGAAAAAGAGTAGAGTAGTTGCGTTGCTGTTGTGGGCCGAAGGCTGACGCTTTTCGTTTCATTTTTGGGGGGATGCCTCGTTAAAAACCTCATTAGGAAAAACCCTGTGGGAAAAAAATCCTAATGAGGGAAAAAGAGCGCACCGAATTCCCCCAACGATGAATTGAAAATGTGAAACCTTGGTCAAAAATGGAGAACAACGGTAATGCCGAAGGCTCTCTCTTCTGAGGGCTCCTGTGTTGATTAGCCGAAGGCTTGCTGTTGATGTCCTGGGGGTCGAGGGCATGATGGATGAGGGCAGTAATTGAATTGTCGCCGGGGGGGTCCCCTGCTTGCTGGTTAGTTGGTGATGAGGATACCCGAGGGCTCCCATTACCTGTGTGCTGTAGGCTATCCGTCAATGAGGCAACTTCCCCGGGGGCCACCCGGTTCTTACAGTGCTGAGGGGGAATCCCCGAGGGGTGCCCTGATATGAAGCCTTGGATTTCTGAAGGAATGATACCGAAGGCGTCTATTATGTGCTGTGTGGGGCACAACCCGGGGGCGTTTCTGGGTAAGTGTACCCGGAGGCTTTCCTTGATGAAGTGGGGTGAAGTAGAAAACCCGGGGGCTTCCAGAATATAGCCGTTGGAAATTAAGTCGTTGGAATATGTAACGTCAGGCTTATAGCCGTTGGGGGGGGTACACGTGGAGTGTAGCCGTTGGCTGCTCGTGGGCGGGCGTCACCGGTTGGGTGAAACGACGGTGTGTAATGATGATGTTTGGCCGGAGGCCTAGTTTTTGGGCCCAAGCCCGGATCCTGGAGTCTATAAATACCCCAAACCAATGCCATTCCTTCCTTACGCGTCCAAAATCCTTAGCGAAGCTCTGCCAAAAATTCTAGAGAGAGAAACTCAAGCCTTCGGTCAAAACTCAGCTTTCAAGGTCAGTCCCCCCCTGCCTTTCTCCTTCTAGTTTAGCTGTGCCTTGTGCCCTTAGGTTAGGAGATAGAATTCTCTAGAAAACCTTAGTTCCCCCGAACCCTCGAGCTAGAGTTAGAATGTCGTCCCAGAGTGATTCTCAAGACATCTCGAGGACCCCCTCGGTTCAGGACGAAAGCATCTCCGACGTGGAGTCCAGTAGCAGTCAGCCCTCGGGTGGTGGTGATGCAGCTCTCGCCACCGAGATGCAGAAGGATTTGGTGGCCGAGGTCGAGGCGGAGGAGTTCGAGCGAACCGCCGAAGATGAGGAGTTAGCCCTCGCCGTCCAAGTTGCTGAGGAGGAAGAGGAAAAGGAGAGGGCGAAGGTTACTATCGCTGTCCTTCCCCCCGGGGTTCTGGGGAAGCAAGTAGCTCGAGGCCACTGGACCCGACGCCTTTAAGTGTAGCCCCCGGGAAGAAGAGGAGGAAGACGAAGGCTGGCCCCCAGAAGAAAGTAAAGGCCGTCGATCAAGGGGGGCCAGTTGATCTACCGGAGGGTCACTCCTTCCTGGACACCGCCGCTCTGGAGATTAAGTCCCAAGCTGACAGGGCGGACATCTACATCACCCAGTTGCATGTAGGGCCTTCGGCCGTAGTAGTCGAGCCAGGTCCTGATGACGTGTTGTCCCGGCTCCCCGGGGGATGTATAGCCGTGCACGTGCTCTCGGTTTCAATGGGCCTCAGGTTCCCTCTCCATCCGTTCCTCCGGGAGTGCCTGAGGTACACTGGCCTGGTTCCCTGTCAATTGACCCCCAATAGCCACTCATACATAGCTGGGTTCGTGAACTTGTGCAAACTCCGGGGGGTTACACCGAGCTTGGAGTTATTCTTCCAAAGTTTTAACCTATGCCGGGGGGGCCATACAAATGCCGAGGGCTATGCAAACTTACAGCAGATAGCCCAGTTCAAACTGTTCACCGAGGCCCCTTCTTCTAACAAAGGGTGGAGAGAGCGATGGTGCTATATCAGATTGGCCGACAGCCCTTTCCCGAGGGAGTTGCGGAATCACTTTCGGCGCCACGTGAAGGTCAAGAGTGCCGCCCTCTAGAAGGATGGCCTGAAGATTGCCAAGATTCCAGAGGGTCGGGATAAGAACATAACCATCAAGGAGTGCATCCTCGAGGAAGACCTATATGCCCTCGAATTCCTGAGGTATCGGTTCATTGGGGAGACCGATGAGAAGTACCCCCTCTATGATAAAGCCTTCGTGGGAGCAGGAGGTAGTGGCCGAGGGCTTTAGATTTTTGTACTTAGAGATTTTTTTTTTGTCATGTTTGTCGTCATGTCTCTGACCCCTCGGTTCTAACCTTTTAACTTGTTGTTGTCGTTCTTTGCAGGTAGCAAGATGAATGCCAACGCCCTGTTCGCAAAGAGGAAGGGCAAGACCCAGGCAAAGGAGAAGGGGCCCTCGGGCCCGAAGCCAGCCGACGCGTTTTTTCCGAAGGTCGTAGAGCCTTCCGCCGGGGACGTCCATGCTGCTGTGGGGACCGGGGAGTCGAAGGCCGAGGCGGCCGTGAAGAAGAAGAGGAGTGATAAGGGAGTGGAGCCCCCTACCAAGAAGCAGAAAGCCGCCGGGGGCGCTGTCGAGGGGGCGGCCCCCCTCATAGTTATTGATGACATGCCCGCCGCTGATGGGCCTCTGGCCTCGGTCACCCCGAAGGCTCTGGTGAATCCATCCCCGGAGGAATTACCCCGGGAGATCCGTCAGCTCTCCTTTGCCCCCGGTGCTTCACTGATGCACGGCACTGCCGAGCCGAGGGCCTTCCTGCGGGGCATCACCTCGAAGATGGACAGAGAAGTCTTCGAGACATATGACGATGATGCCCTCGAGAACAGGATCCTCCGGTCCTCTCTCACTGTAAGTATCTGCTTCCTTTTTCCTTCTCTTATCAGTTTGGTATTATTTTTTTTCCTGGGGAATAATCTAACTCCCTTGATCATTGTTTCCAGGCTTGCATAGCCCTCGGGGAACAGGCCCGGAGGCGTGAGGAAAGGCGCCTTCAGGAGGCCGCGCAAGATAAGAAGATGGAGGGGCTGATTCGCAAGAACTCTGAAGCGATGAAGCATGCTGCGCAGCTGGAGGAGGCCCTCCGGGAGGCGAAGGCGGTGGCGGAGAAGGCCAAGGCTGACGGCATAGCCGAGGGCAAGGCAGAGGCCGAGAGGGCTGCTGCCGAGGCGGCGAAGAAAGCTGCCGATGAAGCCCAAACCGCCAAGGAGGGAGCTGTGGCCGAGGCCCGAGGGGAGGCAGTTGCTGAGTTCCTCGCCGAGGGCTGGAGGACCGAGGGCCACAAGGAGTGGGTGGCCTCCGTGGTGGCAGCCTCGGTGGATGCTTGGGTAGAAGGCCCCGGGGTTGACTGGCTGACAGATAGGGGCGACGCCTACTACCAGGGGGGTGAGTTCTTTACCCAGCACCTGATTTACCGGAGGCTCGTCAGGCACTTTGGCGTGTCCCTCGACCAATTCGACCCCTCAGCATACGGCCTCCCTCCATTGCAACCAGAAGTGAGAGTTCCCCTCCCCCCGGGCGAAGAGCGGCCGACAATATACGATTCTGTGATGATGGGGGGTGATGGGGGCGGAGCCGTCGGTGGTGATGCTGTTGGGGAAGAAGTCTCCTCCAAGGCCGCCGTAGAAGATGCCACCGGAGATAATGATGTTGAAGTCACAGTGAAGATCTGTACTTAGTCAATTTTTGAAAAATCTTTGTAATGAACATTTGTCACCCCTCGGCTTTGGCCATACTCTGTAACAAATACATTTGAATCCCTTCTTTTTGTTGGATGAATGATCGCCTTCGGGCTTTGTATATATGGCTTGTTTTCTCTAATTCCTTTCTTCTTGAATGTATGCCTTCGTTTCGTTTTGGATGTATGTCTTTGCTCCTTTGAATGTATGTTTTAGGACTTAGAATATTTTCTGATTGTAGCTTGCCCTTGGAAGCCTTCGGTAGTTGGGCACCCTCTGCTGGATATACAACCGAGGGTTCAGCAATAATCAGGACTTAGAAAATTTTCCTAAGTGTAACACACCATAGGGCCTTCGGGTGTTTGTAGTTCCATTGCTGTGTGGTGATTAGGTTGAGAACCCAATTCCTAGGACTTAGAAAAATTTCCAGGTGTAGTTTTGCCCTTGGATGCCCTCGGCTGGTAGCCTCCTTCCTGATGTGTGAATATTGGACCGAGGGCCCAATGTATAGGACTTAGAAAATTTTTGCAATTGTAGTATTCCATGTAGCCTTCGGCTACTGTGGAGCCCCAACTGAAATGTTGATTAGGCCGGGGGTCAATTCTTTAGGACTTAGAAAATTTTCCTCAATGTTGATTCCTTGTGTACTGTAGCCTTTGATTGATAGGTAGCCTTCTGCTATTAGGTCCCTTGAGATGAGGGTGAAATATGTAGAACTTAGAAAGATTTCTAAGTGTAGATTTTCCCTTGGGAGCCTTCGGGAGATGGCATCCCTTCTTGATGTATGAGTGGTTGACCGGGGGAAAAATGTGCAGGACTTAGAAAATTCTCTAAGTGTAGATTTTCCCTTGGGAGCCTTCGGGAGATGGCATCCCTTCTTGATGTATGAGTAGTTGACCGGGGGAAAAATGTGTAGGACTTAGAAAATTTTCTAAGTGTAGATTTTCCCTTGGGAGCCTTCGGGAGATGGCATCCCTTCTTGATGTATGAGTAGTTGACCGGGGGAAAAATGTGTAGGACTTAGAAAATTTTCTAAGTGTAGATTTTCCCTTGGGAGCCTTCGGGAGATGGCATCCCTTCTTGATGTATGAGTATTTGATCGAGGGCCAAATATGTGGAACTTAGCAAAATTTCACAGTGTGTCGTAGATCTTGGACCTTCGGTCAGTGAGGAGTCTGTCCGAGGGGCAAATATTTTGGAATAGTCCCCTTGGTTGGATCTCGATGATTTGTAAGAGATGCCTTCGGTTGTCTGGTGACACATTAACCTCCGGTTGCTGTCATTTTCCAAAAGTGTGGAATCATGTTGTTGTGAAGAAAGCCAATGAGGAGTGTGTGCCCTCAGCATATACTTGAAAAGTTGTAGAGTTTGACTTAGCCAGTTGTGTCCCTTGTCATGGGGTAGGGTGCCCTCGGTATTTGTTTGAATTACCGTTTAGTAGACTTTGGATAGTCCAGTCCCTTCGTATTGTTGAAGCCTTCGGTGCTTGTGTGACCGGAGGTGACCAGGCAGTGGACTTAGCCGTTTCTTGATGATATTTGTTTGAGTAGTATCCTTCGGGAAATAGGAGCCTTCAATTACCGGAGGTGTTCCCGTGGGGAGCCCTCGGCATGTTGTGATCTGTTGGAGTGTACTCTTTGATTTCTCGCTGAGTCTACTCCCCTTCACCCCCCCCCCCCTTTTTTTGTTTTTGGTTGGTGGTGAAGGGAAAGCATCAAGAAACTTGGTTTCTTGGTAAGGCTGGGCCTATTAGGAGACCATCAGAATACACCAATGGCTCTCCTCCCTCGGGTTAACCTTCCGAGTTCCGAGGGGATCGAGGGTCGTTTCCTGGGCACAAGATATGGTGGTCTGTAACCTGCCTCCCCTTGGGGGATGGCGCGGAAAGCGCCTCATTTTTGAAAGTCGTCCCCTCGGCGCTAGACATAGTCCGTGGCCTGCCACACCCTTGGGGTGGTGGCGCGGGGAGCGTTTCGGTTTGGAAGTCGAATCCTGGGCATTTCTCGTGCCTGTCATACCCTTGGGGTAATGACGCGGATAGCGTTCCGTTTTTGAAAGTCGAATCCTGGGCATTTCTCATGCCTGTCATACCCTGGGGGTAGTGACGCGGAAATCGTTTCAAGGAAGGGTTTTCATTTGCACACTAGTTGCAAATGGCCGGGGGCACTACGTGCCGCCGGCACCGATGGTGGCGCCTTCGGTATATGCGTCCTCGTGGGGTACGGCTTTTAGAAACAACACTTGGTGTTAGTTTCGATGTGTAGCCCCCGGTACTTGGTACCGAGGGGTCTTCTGTAGGAACACTTGGTGTTCTCTTTTGTTGCAGTTGATGGAGGTGTCTACCCTCGGTACTTGGTACCGAAGGGTCTTCAAATGAGACACTTGGTGTTCTTATCTTTTCTTTTTTGATGTTGAAGGTGGGGATGTACCTTCGGCACTGGGTGCCGAAGGGAAATAAAACACATGGCGTTCCTCGTTGTTGGTGACGGGAGTTCCCACCCTCGGTACTTGGTACCGAGGGGTCTTGTTTGAGAACACATGGTGTTCTCCTGTTGTTGTAGGTGTTGATGGTGTCCGCCCTCGGCACTTGGTGCCGGAGGGGGTTCTTCTTGTGGTGAGGCCTGGGGCCTGTAGTCAGTATGAGGGCTTGGCCGCTCATAAGTGTTTTGTTCTTGGTGTCTTGAATGTATCTTCATTCTTCGAAATTGGAGGCCTTGGGCCATAGGATAGTACATTCACTAGTTATGAGGGCTTGGCCGCTCTTACATTATTGGTAAAATTTAACTAAGTGGTGTACATTCAAGTGCCTAGGGACTTCTTTCCCGTTGGGACGTTTGAGTTTGTAAGTTCCAGGTTTGACGATGGCTGCTATGATGTAGGGACCTTCGAATTTTGGTGCCATTTTGCCTCCCTCGGTCGGTTGGCTGGCTTCCCTCCTCCGGAGGACATAGTCCCCCACTTGGAATTCTCTGGTGCGAACTTTGGCGTCGATGTAGCTTTTGACTTGCCTTCGGTAATTTTCAACGAGAGCACCAAATGATGGATAGTCTACCTGGGGGTATATATCCGAAGGGTTATTGCTGGGAATAACTTAGAGAGAAGTCAGAGCAAGTAAATGTAGAGAGAGAGAGTGTATTATAAATGTGGAGCGTTTTCAGCGTGGTTACAAATGGGGAAATGGGGTGCTATTTATAGTAGCAATAAATGCCGGACAGGGACACGTGTCAAGCGCCTATTGGCCGAGAGGTCACCTCAACTGGTTGGCGTTGGCAGCCGCATGTGGCCGCATTTAATGCGGCTGTTGGATGGGACGTCTGTACAGGGTACGGCGATCTGTACGCATGTGAGGCGGATATCATGTCGGGAGAGGTGCCCTCGGCTGCAGGGGACTAGCCGAGGGCCCTTAGTGCTGAGGACCCCTGAGTGCCGAGGGCTCCAGGTGCCGAGGGCTACTGTTTTCGCCGTTTTCTCCCAGTCCCTCTGTTTGTTCGAAATATCCGTTCTGTGAGAGTTTGGAGCCTTCGGCCAGGGGGCCGAAGGCACCCCTGGTGCGTATTGCGGGCTGCTTGATACTCTGGGCGCCGTGATTTGGGCCTGTTGGGCCTTTTGGGCCTGTTGGGCCTCCACTGGAGTAGTAGGAGTCTGTGGGCCGGGTGTTCCCGGGCCATATACTCCATCAGGAGGTTCATCAATAACATGTGAAGCCTCAGTGTTATTAGTATATTCAAGATCAATAGAGGTAGTAGTAACATAATTTTTCGCATGAGCATATGTAAAGGCAACATTGGGGGAGCTTCTAAGACTTCCAGAAAGGTAATCGGGGCAGGGATATGAGTGTACATCACTAGTAACATAGGGGGCAAAAATTGAAACATCAACGGGGCTTCGCAGACCACCGTGGCATCAAAAGCAGCAGAAAGGGGACTTTAATTTCAAAATCTGTCAAGGCAGTTTCCAGGGCAATAGTAGGGTGTGGTTCAATACCAGCAACTTTCAAGACAGTGGACTGAGAAAAGGCATGTTAACAAGCCTGAACAAGAGGATTCTCCAAGTCAACGAAGGGTGGGGGTGGTTGTTCAATACAGGCAGCCAAGTGGGTTTCTTCAAAGACAACCACACTTTTTCTCCATTTTCACTAGCATCAGGAAAAACAAAATCACAGAAATCAACATGATTAAGAGGTTCCTTCACGAGTTGAGGTGCAATGGCCAAATATGGAACAAGAAATGCAAAAGAGATGTACATTTTCGTACTTAACAGGCTGGAAAATCAACAATAGAAGAAAAATAACATCAGAGAGCAAACTTAATCCAAAGAAACGGGTATAGTATATCCAAAGAAACCCCCAGGACTGTTTAATCCAAAGCCTTTGAAAATCAATGTCAAAAGAAAAATTAATCAGTAGCAAGTGCGATATATGGAGCCCCACAGAATAGTTTTGGGAAAACCCTAAGGCCTCAAAAGCTTTTCGGATAGCAGTCAAAGGAGGGCGACCATTGGAGAAGGCGTCAACTGGAGCAAAGCTAAAATTGGAGGATAGAACCTGTCATTCATTGTTTGAGAAGGAAATCACAGAATACCCTTTCAATCGTCCAGAAGGTTTGACGAGGAAGACAAGATCTCTGAAGTTGGCAAAGGAGATTCCCTGAGAGCGCAGTCGTTGGCCGGGGAGTGATTCCCTTACTGCTGCTATGTACCGGGGTTTTTGTGGCACGACATCGAACTCGTAACACTCCGCCGGCGGCATTAGTATGCCGCACAGGCATCGGGAGAGAGGCGATGGCTACGGGAGTGTTATTGGAAAGGCAGATTGAGTGAAATGTAAAGGAAATGTTAAGGTTATGATTTTTTTTAAAGTATAAATTTAAATAATAAATTGGGCTGGAGTGTCACTGTTGTATCTTGACGTAATAGTATCAATAATTACTGATACACAAGTGTCATAAATGTGTTTCTGCCACTATAGTGTCACTAGCTAAGTGTCACTGTAAGAAGCTGTTTTTCTAATAGTGGAGGTACTTGTCAACTCAATCTCGATTTGCACCCTGAACAGAAAGAAAATGTTCAAGTCCCACTGATCAGATTAACCTTGCAAGTGAACAAGTGTCAATGTAGTAAT